CCTCCATTTTTGGGAATATGAGGAAATGACCTGCGGTATGTCTCTCCCAGCATACACGCGGTTTGATTGGCTAGCGCTTGAACTGTCAGATTTGCATACACGGGATTTGATTGGCTGACGCTTCCACCTCAGCTTCAAAAGTTGAACATTGCTCAACTTTGAATCCTGAAAATCTCCGCTCTGCTGCCCACAATGCAGTTTGGCGAAAAGTGAGGCAAAGTGACGTCACCCCATTCAAAGTGAATGGGCAGAAGCGTTCCAAGATTTTTTAACGCTGCTGTGTGGACGGGCCGTAATGGCGGCGCCCTGAATGCACCCGGCATCCTACCACTTGTCATCTACTTTGAGATCAACAAACAATGAAACATGAATCATTTTGACGGCATCGATGAACATTAAAGTAAACAGATATGGTTCTAAACTGTATTGAAGTAAACATGTATTATTTTGAACTGTATTTTAGTGAACATGTATTGTTTGAACTGTTTTAAGTAATCCTCACTTACACTCACTGACCCAGATATCCTGCGACACACACATACACCTCCTCCCACCAGCACACACATATATTCTTTTCAAGGTCCTTTCTGGGCATCAATATATCTGTGTACAATGTTTGGTTGTCTGGGAAAGAATAGTTTGTGTGAAATATTCCTTGGGAAAGTAAAGGAGTGAATACAGGTGCAGAGATAAAGATTGACTCTGTCCTTGTGTACTTCCAAAGATCTCAGAAGAAACATACTTTTTTCCAGAACTCTGATTCGCTGTATTGGACCCGACCAGAAGTGAATCCAACCAGTAAAAACACCTGGGGGAGTGAGCAGCTCACACAGCTCCTCCCCACGGACTCTCTGATTCGCTTCGGAGTAAAATGGGACGGAAGAGTCAACACATCTCCGCCCCAAAATATGTATATGAATACTGTTGTTTATTCATGCAAAATGCTTCCTGTTTCTGACTGGCCGGTACCCATTACCTGTATTGCACGGCAGTAGAGCTGGAAATCCAGAGTACTCTATAAACTTGTATCAGTGTTTTTTACCAGTAATATCAGATTATTGTTATAACCTTTATTCCGGTGTTTTGAACTCCTTTTATTAAATCTAACCAGGCTCATCTAACGGACGGCGCGTAGCGGAGGTGGGCTTTAAGCCACCACCACGGTGTTTGCTACAACAACCTGTGGGGGTTTCTGCGGTGGGGAAGAAACGCAAGCCATCGAAATCTAATCATATGCGTGAGGTGATTAACCTGTTACGCACCATCCCCCCGGTACCGGGCGGATAAACGCGTTATTTGCAGGAAACAACGTCTAAGGAATCTTAATATTTAATAAACTATGAATGTTTTATATCCATGTAACGGGAAGAAACTCAGCTAACTGATCTTTTTAATTTTTTTTCTCCAAAAAAACCCCACAATGCTAACACTTAGCCTCTGTATTAGCCACGAGCGAAAAAAAAATTTCGAGCCTGAAACATGAAAAACAGGCTTGGTGCTTAAGAAAATGAGGCACTCGGGAGGAGGAAAAATGCCGGCTGTCGCTTGTTCTCATACGAAAGCAAACTTCTGTCACGCAGACACATTGACCCCAGGGGATCTATTAAAAAACGATCAGTCTTTTTTCTCTGGATCTACGAAAATCAAGCAGGATCAAGTCATTTTGCAGCTGATCACTGTCAAAAAAGTTCAGCGGAGACCAGGGGCGTCGCCTGGAGCTGGAAACATTCGGGGCTTAGCCCACAGTGGCGGTGTAGGTACCAGAATCTGTTCGGGGTTCGTTACGCTTACCAATGACGTCACGCATTGGCTGTACAGCAACCCAATAGGACATTTTACATGGCCAAATTCCACAAAGAATATTACAAAATAACAATAAACAGTACTGTAAACATATTATGTAAATAACCCAATTTGTGTTCTGTGAAACTGAAAAGGATATTACATTGTTTTTTGTTACTTTCGTTGGCTGTTGACAGGAAGTTGTTGTTGCTATGGAAACAACATGACGGAGAAAAAAGTAATATCTTCTCCATATAAAGACGTAGAAAGTAAAGAATAACGTGGTGGCCTACCAGATCTGTTACAATGAAGGCTCGATAATCAGCTCACGACATATAGGTGTGTTGTGTGTGTACACAGAGTTATAAAGGTTGGTATAAAATCCTTGTTAAATCGGAGAATTAATTCGGGTTACGCCAGAGGTGGCGATATATGCTCCAAGTGGAAGCGATTCGCCATTAAAGAAAAGAAGAATTACGCCATCTGGTGTCAAACAAACATGTGCCTGCCTTAGCTTTGTTACGGCAATGGATTGTGGGAGATTCTCATAACATGTGAGGATCTCTCGAGGGTAAGGTGCCTGTATTATTTTGGTGGACAAAATGTATGTTTTTATTTTGTTACGAACTCAGACACTTAGGATGTAGGACCCAATTGCACGACCCGGGAGACAGAGGTAAAGTATTAGTAAGATACTTTATTTTCCAAAATACAGCAATGAACAACAAAAAAGGTAACTATCAAATCTCTAACCGAGATGACAAAAATAGAGGAACAAAATGAAAGCGCTCACGTAGTGAGGAATCAAACTTTACAAGAGTACAAAGAGCATAGACCTGACCATAGCAAGAGACAATACGAACTGACAAAGAACACTTGGGAGACAGGGGAATATAAGCACAGGGTAACTAGACACAGGTGGGGACCAATCCGGGGCGGGGCTGACATTGATGAGCACAGGAGACACAGGTGAAAATAATCAGGAAGCCTGGAATGAGAGAAAGCAAACGTAAATAACATGCATCTCTCTAGCATTTCTGTCGGTGCACAACATATTTTATAAGGACTCTAACATTTTGTTGCCCCGGGCGGATAAACGCGTCATTTGCAGGAAACAACGTCTAAGGAATCTTAATATTTAATAAACTATGAATGTTTTATATCCATGTAACGGGAAGAAACTCAGCTAACTGATCTTTTAAAAAAAAAACACAACACAACACTCAGCCTCTGAATTAGCCACGAGCGAAAAAATGTAACCTATCACTGCACCTAAACTCACTCATAACTCCCTTATTACTTATCCTAGATGCACAGCCTGGAGACACAGAATCTAGGGGTGCCCACCTCAACACTCAGTGATAAACATTTGCGACGCTATAAACGAAAACGTACATCAAAACATGTGGTGCTAGGTAGCTACAAACGCTAACATGGCTTACCTTGGTCAAAACTGGTCTTCAATGGCATTAAAACGACAAAAAAACGATGCTGCAGTTAATCCAATGTGTCTGTGTCCTTTGAAATGATTTCTGATAATCCATAAGCAATAAAACTGCTTTTTCGTTTCCAAATGTCAGAGCGAGAGATCGCTTCACTCTGGTGCAAACCTGCATGCGGGAAGCCCCCTCACAACGAGTGTGTGTGGGGGCCTCCCCCTTCCATTCTATTGGTTCTAACGGTCAGAAAGAGGTGTCAACCATCAAAATCGACCAAGGGGGGCCAGAGATTTCATTTTCACACAAATCACCTCAGAGGTGGAGTGGTTTTGGCTAAACCTCTCTAAAAAGGTCAAATGTCACTTGTTTTGCATCAATCTTGATACAGGGTACTTATTATATGTTGTACTTTGGATTCCTAAAGCTGTTAGTCTACTAACCTATCATCCAAGGGTAGTTTTCACTATAAGTAAAAAAGAATTTTTGGACGGACACTATAATTTACAGTTTTTTACTATGTAAAATCTGAATTCTCTTTAAAATAAAAAACATCTATATTGATTCTGACTTTTCTACATCCAACTCACAGGTTTATCATTACTTTGAGAAAAAAGATTATTAATTTAACCCTTTTAGAAGGGAAGATATGGTCATTTGTTCTGGGAATGGCATTTTCGAGCCTGAGACCTGAAAAACAGGCTCAGAGCTTAACAGGTTACGGAGCGTCCACACAGCAGCGTTAAAAAAATCTTCTAACGCTTCTGCCCATTCACTTTGAATGGGGTGACGTCACTTTGCCTCACTTTTCGCCGAACTGCATTGTGGGCAGCAGAGCGGAGATTTTCAGGATTTTCAGGATTCAAAGTTGAGCAATGTTCAACTTTTGAAGCTGAGGTGGAAGCGTCAGCCAATCAAATCCCGTTTATGCAAATCTGACAGTTCAAGCGCTAGCCAATCAAACCGCGTGTATGCTGGGAGAGACATACCGCAGTTCATTTCCTCATATTCCAAAACATGGAGGAGAAATTAGCGGTAGGGAATCACCCGGTGCTTTATGACCAGTCCCTATTTACCTACCGGGATACAAACCGGAGGAGCCAGGCATGGAGGGAGGTGGCAGAGACAGTGGTAGGTTTTCGCCTGTTTATATCCAGTTTACTTCGGGCTTTTTTGCTTTGTATGTCGGGGGCGGGAGATTCATGTGATTGGTTGTTGCTCGCAAAAAATCCCCAAGCTTCAGATACGCCCACCTCCAAGATTTTTTTAACGCTGCTGTGAGGACGCTCAGTTAATGCTCACACAGCAGCATGTTTTTTGTGTGTTTGGCTATTGGTTTTATATGATTTATCAACGTGATCATCAATAGCTAATCTGAGCTAATAAGCTGATGGGAGAGCTACTCCATGTGATGCCTCGACTACAAAGTCTTCCATGTTTCTACGCTTCTTCCTCTGTGTCACAGTTTCGGGAATATCAAGATCATTGCACAGGGCCTTGGTCTTGTCATAGACCTCATGTGCTTTCTCGTCACTTCGGTAACTTTTCAGTGTGTTCTCAACTGCTGTTTCGTAATTTACTGCCTGCACCAAGTCAATTGTTTCTTTCTGCAGGTATTTGTGCAGGCCCTGAGTGGTTGAGAGCAGTGTCTGGAACAGGACAAGCATGTAGATGGTACTGAATTTGCAAAGCTTGCTTTCCAGTCCCTTTGCCAGAGGGGCTGAAAGGCTCCCTAAAGTCTGGATCAAAGCAGGTAGGTTTTTTAGGGTTGCATTCACAGACTCAATTTGACATGCCCAGCGAGTGTGCGACAGCTGAACAAGTTGTTTGTCCCTTACCTCTAGCTGTTTCTGAAATGTTTCCAATCTCTGAAGGTGGACAAGAGATGTGGAGAAGAAAGAGTAGAGACACTCCAGGAGATCAAAGAAGTCACGTGCCTCTGGGATGGCTTTGCAAGTGGCGCAAAGGACAAGATTGAGTTCATGGGCATAGCAGTGAACATAAAGTGCTTCTGGATGCTTCTCTCTAAACCGAGCTTGTACACCTCTCACTTTTACACTCATAACAGCAGCACCATCATAACTCTGGGCAACACATTTAAGATGTCCTATTCCAAGTTTGTCAAGTAGCTGCTCTATTGTGTCAGTGATGGTTTTAGCATCAAATGCTGCAAGCTGAGAAAGTCCAAGGAACCTTTCTTTCACTGAGCCTTGTGGATTTACATATCGCACACACAATGCAAGCTGCTCTGTGTGATTATCCCTTGCTTCATCCACCATTACTGAGTACATTTTTGCCTCTTTGATCTCAGATATTATCCTTGCCATTATAACGTTGGCGGTGCTTTCAATCATCTCATTCTGTGATGAGGGTGAGAGATAGGTCACACATGAAGGTGGCTTATATGTTTGCAGAAAAGGATCAACGTTTTCAAGAAGCTTCATGCATTCCATAAAATTACCCTTGTTATCACTCTCTGCTGCTTCGTTGTGCCCTCTGAAAGCAATCCCTTGCTTCCCAAGAAAGGCTGTCACTGCTGCTATGCGTTTCAGATACTCCCTACGTTCCTGAATCTCACTGACATTTGCAGCATGTAGCTGCTGTGTGATGTCCCCATGGACGTGGGTGGCTTTAAAGCTCTTCCAGAGAATAATTGAGGCCTTGTGTATGTTTGACTTTTCATGTTCTCGAAAATAATCCAATGCACGCTTCCAGTTTGTGTATCCTGAGGTGGTGAGGGTGTCCCTTTGATCCCTTGATTGCTTTGGTTTGCCATATCATCTACAACTAAAGCAGAATGCTGCGTTGGCAGTTGTAGAATATTCAACCCATTTAAAAGTATCAAACCAACTTGGTTGAAATTATCTCTTTTGCTGGCCAAACATGCCGGATGGAAAGCAGTGATGTCTCACTTGCCTTGGCCCTGTATCTGCAGTCCCTAAATCAGTTCCCCAGTTACCCATTGACTCTTGTCTGTTCTGATGTTCCTGTTCATTGTTGTTCTTATCTGTTGTATCTCCTTCTTGTGTGTCCCTTTCTCCTGTTCTCCTTTCTTCATCCTCTACACTTTTTGGCTCATCTGTGATGACTGTGTAGGTAAACACAAACAAGTATTTTAAGTCAATCAGTTTCCAGCTCTGTCAAATAAATGAATTTCAAGATACACACATTTGTCTTCATTAAAATGAGTGTCACCACACTGTCACAAAATATAATACTAACCAATTGAAAATAGTTAAATTGACATTGGAAACCTCTTGTAGATATCACTGTTAGTAGTTATCTGCCAATAGGACAGAATCATTCCTATACAAATGCAGTTTGAGTAATTCACTTAATATATTTACTTAACACTTTAATATAGTCATTTTCACTTAATACTCTAATATAGTCTTTCTGCATTCAAAACTAAAGAAAGCTGTACAATTTGACATGATAATGAGGCCTCCGACAATGCAGATAATTTTTTGATCATATCAATTTTAAGATGGGGGTCAAGGCTTAATATTTGGGAGCATAGTGTCCCTTGTCCCCTTTCAGGAGCCCCACTGGATTAGCTTTGATCTGAAATCTTTGTATATAAAAAGCTTGTTAGCTGGCTGTCCATCTCATAATGTTCACATAGAAACTAGCTGTCAATAGGAAATATCAATCAGAAGAATTATAATTTCATGCAAAAATCTGTCACAAAAAGAGGTTGCACATTTAAATTCAGGTGTTGTTATGGCAACGTCAGTGGCCAAACAGCCACATTTACTGCTGCAAATACGTTCAAACGTGCTGTCGACACGTAAAGCAGTGGCAACTATGGCCGTGTCTCAATTCAGGGGTTTCATCCTTCGAAGCGTGCATTCGTAGACCGCATACGTCACTTCCGCCGAAAGAAGGCTGTCCCAATCCTTGGGGACGGCAAAAAAACTCCAACATTATACAATTTAAAATAAAAGGGATAGGGTTAGGCTTAGGGTAAGATATTGAGTAAGAAAATGTTTTTATGAACCACACAGCTTCCGGTCTTCCAAGACCCGACCGGACAAAAAGACGTGGTGCAGGCACGAAACATACTACCAATAGAAATACATTGCTTTTAAAATTGTTCTGTGTGACACGAAATAAATGAACACAAATCAATAGATTAAATTAATTTCGTGACTATAGCACGAAATGCCGTGAGACTGGGTTGTTATATAGGTATTAGTATCATCACTGAGCGATCAGAACTCGCGACAGGGGAAGCAAACAGACCTCACAACACGTAGCATTACGGAGCAAACACGGGATATTGTATCACCTTAGCTGTTATTCTGATCAAAAGTCGTGTTCAATGGCATTAAAACGATAAAAACGCGGTTGAAGGTTAATCCATAGGTTAATCCAATGTGTCTGTCACTTTGAAAAAATTATTGATTATCCATCATTCCATTTTTATGTAAAAATCAGAGATTTTATATTAGCTGCTAACGGTAGCCACCAGAGGGTATCGCAGCATCCGGGGCATTCTGGCTGTGCAGCACTCATTCACCAATGGGCAATGTTTAGATGGATTTTAGGAACTTCCCCTCGATTCTATTGGCTCTAATGGTTAAAAAGAGATGTCAATCATCAAAATCGGGCCAGAGATATGGAAAATGCACCCATATGACCCCAGAAGTGTTTTTTTTTTTCTAAATCTCTCTAAAAAGGTCAAACTTCACTTGTTTTGCATCAATCTTGATACAGGGTACTGAAGTAAAAATATATGATTCTAAACTGTATTGAAGTGAACATGTATTGTTTGAACTGTTTTAAGTAATCCCATATATAATGTCTTCTCACTTACAACTCACTGACCCAGAGATCCTGTTACACACACATACACCTTTCTTTCCACCAGAGCACACACACATGTTCTTTTCAAGGTTCTTTCTGGGTATCATAATGTTCTTTCTGGGCTCATTATATCTGTATACAATGTTTAATTGTCTGAGAGTAACAGTTTATGTGAAAGATGCCATGGGAAAATAAGGGAGTGAATACCGGTGCAGAGATAAGATTGACTTTGACCTTGTGCTTTAACTTTAGAATCTCACGTTCTGGTCAGAACTCTGATTCGCTGTATTGAACCCGGCCAGAGGTGGATCCAACCAGTAAGGACACCTGGGGGAGTGAGCAGCTCACACAGCTCCTCCCCACGGACTCTCTGATTCGCTTCGGAGTAAAATGGGAAGGAAGAGTCGACACATCTCCGCCCCAAAATATGGATATAAATTCTGTTGTTTTTGTATGTAAAAATACTTCTTGTTTGATGAGTTGGCTGGTCCCGATACTTGTATCCGCATCGCATCACAAACCTGAAGTCCGGAGTACTCTGTAAAACTTGTATATGTGTTTTGTTTCCTACCAGTAAACTCAGATAATTGTTATAACTTTTGATTCCGGTGTTTTCAATTCCTTTCTTTATTAAATAGAGATCAGCCTCATCCAACGAACGGCGCGCAGCAGAGGGGGGGGGCTATCAGCCATCCCAATAGGTGTTCTGCTCCAACAGTACTTATATGTTATAGTTTGGATTCCTAAAGCTTTTAGTCTAAGGGCGCATTCACACCAGCCTTTTATAGTCCGGTTGAATCGAACCCTGGTGCGTTTAGCCGCTTGGTGCGGTTCATTTGGGTCGGTGTGAACACAGTCCAAGACCTCTTAAAGGGCCCATGTCATGGCCATTTCCACTGATCATAATTACATTGTTGAGGTATACTAAAATAGATTTATACTGTGCAATTTTCCAAACTCACATTGGTTTCGCATACAGCATCTCTGTATAGTATGTGTATGCAGCAGTATTCACTCTCTGTGAAAAACGACTTGATTGTGCTCCTGCCCCCCCCCTCCCTGTGAGCCTAGTGTGCTCCGATTGGTCAGCTCGGCCACTCTGTTCTGATTAGTCAACCACCAGAGAGGCTCCGCCCATGTCTAACACTGTGTTTTCGGCTCTGAGCATCAGTTTTCAAATGGCGTCAATACAGCCATACATGTTTGAACCGGAGTCCGATCCTGAAAGTGAGACGGACCGTGATGGACCTGATCCACCGTCCCAAACTAGACTGGAGCAGGCGGTTTCACAGTGGAAAGTTTTAATTTTGTATAGCTCTTACATTTCAGATGTAATGTTAGAACTGCATCATTTATCTACAACAAGTTTGTTTCGCTAACCAAACTGTACCTACAACTGCTGTTATGTAGGTGCACGTGTGGAAACTGCGCCAACCGAAGTGGAAAACGTCTGTTGCAGGGAAATTAGAAAGGTAACAGACATACTTTTCGCGGGAGACTGCCGATTTCATAGCCCTCTCCCGGTTTCCTCCCGGGGTCATATTTCTCCCGATTTCTGACAAAATCAGATTTACCCTGGACTGTTTCCACTCGGACTGTAATACAGCTACACAATTGTTTGGTTTCCATGGTAGCGCATCTCTTTAGTAATGCTCCCGATTTCCGAGGTCTCAAGGTTGGCAAGTATGGTGACAGATACAACAAAAACACCAACAGTAGCACACAACATTATATACACCATAGGCCTACATACTTGTCAAGTCAATAGACTATTATATGCCCTTTTATTTATTCTATAGTAATTGAATGTTTATTTTGTAAACCTCGCCATATTTGGAGTTAATTGCTAAACGTGTTATGTTACAAATATCTTATCTTCCTATAGGTTGCAACACGAATGACGCAAGTCCCAGAACCTATTGTGTGCATGGTTGACCACCCCGGACTAGAGCCAAACTGTTTCAATCCATACACCCTGCAGAACCTCCATAACATTTATAGGTTTGATTATGGACCTTTGAGGCGTAGAACAGAAGGAGTGTAAGTTATTTTTACCTGTAATAAACTACTACTGTATTTGATGAAAAATCAAATCATGGTTTGCTATATATGAATGATATGCTATCTAGGAGCACATCATTCAGGGAAGAAAGGCTACCAAGTATTTCTATCAAACTTTATTTCTAGAAATGTACAAAATGATGATTGATATACATATATACACTGTATAAGATAAGATGGACCTGTGGGGAAAATCAGTTTTTCAAGCAGCCAGAGGGTAAGAGTGAAAAACAGGACAGCACATATATCTTATCATCCATTCCTCCTCTTATAGGCGTTTTCGGCATCTTGCCTATCGCAGCTTTGTAAGCTGGTGCTGGGGCTTCTTAGGACGAGGCATCAGAGTGGTCATCCCGTCATGTGTTGTCCGCCGGATACGCCGGGAGTTTCCTGATCTGGCAGGACAGTATGTTGGCTTCCGACCACCCCTTGACTAAAACGTGAGACATGGCGGGCTACCACTTCCTCCTTTGAGGGCCTGTCAAATTGAGTGGACAGGTCCTTTGGGATGGGGATTTTATTCATCTCCTCCACAAAGGGTGTTGGATCCTCAAAGACTTCCTCAAACACCAGCCTCATCAGCTCACCCACGTACACTGAAAAATATAACATTCATATAATAATTTATTATTTGTATTTTTCTTTTATTCTTTCATTGTACATATAATTCAGTGTGGCTATCTCTCTAGGTCGTCCTCAGACGAGCCCTCCATCGTTGCTTCCAGTCATCCCGGTTCGCCATATATCTGGCCAGTTCATTGGTACTTTGTGCAATAATAATTTAAAATGTAAGTTATGTTTTTAATAAAAACAAAAATATTTGACAACTTACTGTATGTAGGGTCCTTCTTTACAGGCTTTGCGGTACATTCTCCCCTCCTTGCTTTTGGATAGGCCAATTTGTACACCGGTAGTCCTGCAGCTGTTGTGGCTTGCTCACGGTCAGCATTCTCATTGTGATGCATGGCTGCTAGACACAACCTATAGAAAAGCAAAATAAAATGAGACTTTGTGTTATGACAGAATAAAACCCTCATGCCACTAACAGTGACTGTGTTATAAGATGCTACAGAATAAATTATACAGTGTATTACCTGCACAACATTCCCATGAAGGGGAAAACCACATTTTTGGGGGCAAAACGCAGAATCAAGCTGTGGAAGGACTCCAGCGATGAGGTCTGGTAGTGATGGCTTAGCTTTTGCACATCTTTGAGAACTCTCGTGTTGTTGAGTATTTTCTCAACTTTGTGGAGTGTTATTGAATCTTGAGTGAAATTACAAAAACATCAACATCCCATTAGAACATTACAACTATCATTTTCCATAACAACAATGTTATATTTACATTCAATATTGTTGATATTATGAAGGAAGTGAAGTGTTTTTAAATTTCTCACTTGTTATTTCCAATTGTTTTATAAATATTGAACTTACCAGGTTTTAGCCATTTATTTGCATCTGTTGTGGCTCTTTCGGGATGTTCACACTTGGGGAATAGGGGGTCGTCGTGCACGTGAATGTTTTGTAGGTGGTTGACGACTGACGTCCACCTTGCCACCTTCTCCGGCCCCGAGGTTGTGCTCGTCGCACTCCAGTATACATGGTTTTTTATGCTGTGCAGCCACCTCTTCAACAACTTGCAGTCCTTGTTCTGTGAAAGTTTCACAAGTTTCTTGGACAAACCTGATAAAAAGAAAACACATGCACAAGTGAATATTCAAGCCATAGTGTTCAAATGATGTGCTGTGATGGACAATATTCAAGGGTGTGGTGGAAAGAAGGGTGGGGGGCAGACAGAAGGGTAAGCACAGCATGTTAATTGCAACCATATGATAATTGCCTGACAATGGTCAGGGACACACCCTTCTGTCTGAAAGCATTTAATAGCCAGCCCAGGAAACCCCCATACATATTCATATACACATCACTGTAAATTCCCATTCTAAAGAGTACTCACATTATCCTAAGAGTAGTGAGTGAAATTGAATTTACAATGACAAAAGGGGCTGTGATCAAGTGGTCTGGCAGACAGTTTACAATAATACAATCTATCCAGACATGATGTCATGTCTGCTGCTGATTAGAAGCTCAGGATAAATTGCATAGTAAAACAAAGGAATATCTGAACAAAGGACAGTGTCTCTGATTTGGTATTCTTCCATTCAAACATATAGGGATAAATACCTTTTTCAAAGTGCCACACATCATAGAATTGTTCTATGTTGCATTCCCTCAGAAACTTCTGGATCTGTGGATGACGGTCAGTCACAATGTACTCAACCGCCAAATTGTTTGACTCCAGATGATCTAGGCATCTTTTCAGTCCCTCCTTTTCCATGTGATAACTACCACCAACTTCATTGCTCTGTTGGTGAATAAGAAATAGGGCATAAATACACTGAAACATGCATCAACAGCCAGTAAGCATAAAATGATAACACCCAGAAAGAGATTCACACCTGAACAAGCTGGAAGTCCACAATGGTATTGCTTCCCAGGCGCATGAGTGTGTAGCTTCCGAACTTCGCTGAGTGCCCTGAAGATAATATAATAAAGGAGGTTTCAAAGCTTTTCAACAGAATGTCAATGGATAACTTAGATGAATTGTAATATACACCAGTAACTCTGGCACTAGACTGTCTTGTCTGTTTCTGCTTACCTGGAGAGTCTGCACTCATATCTCCTGCAACTGTGACCTTTCCCCCCTGGTGGTGTAGTTGCTGGAAAATCTTCAGCTGATCAGTCTTCCACTTGTGGATAATAGCAGGCTCCAGGTAATTCCTAGCATGCCTCCTGAAGGTCTCATACTGGAAGATCTCCAGCTGCATGGCTCTGCATATCTATGAATACATAGAAAAAGAGGAAACGTTTTTGAAAAAGTCCACTGCTGTCAATTTTAATATGCTATGGATGTTAGATGGTAAAATACCTTTTGTAGTTGGAAGAAGGAACCACCACTGAAGTATGTAGCAGCGGATAATTGCAAGTTGCCAACCGGGGTACTTCCGACGACGGGCTGGCTCTCCCATTGTCTGAGGTAACTGCAGCTTGGACAACGCTGTGTGAACGCCACAAAAGTCCCCAGTTTTCGTCTTTGGACATCACAGTCTCTCTTACACACCGGACATTTTTCAAACAGCTGTCCGAGGCAGCTTTCAAACACAATGTACTTTGCTTCACTGTGCGTGGATCGTGTCTGAAGTCTAATGTAACAAAACAAAATTAACAATACATGTTAGATTTCCAATATTCTTTTTTTCAACTCTGAAGTACAGTAATAGTAATGTATACCCAATATATCAAACTTACGATACGTCAGATTCTTCTGCAAGTACAGAATCATCAGGGTGGTAACTCGAATCCAGAGTCTCTTCAAATTCAGTTGAAGTCTCTCCTTGTTCCTCCTCCAACTCCAGTCGAGGTCTCTTCCTAGGTCCCAGTCCTGGGCCCTTTATTGGTGTAGAGGCCAAGGGGAAATCTGGGTAGGTGGAAGTTTCAGTGCCAACACTTTGGAAAGAAACCGTGGCCTGGATGCCTGTTAATAAAAGGGAAAAATGCATAAATACTTTGTACATTATATAATACACTAATACATTTTAAAAGGCCAACAACTTGTGTACATCTGACAGTAATTCATGAAATATTTAGAATGAACTACACAGAGCAAAGCACTGTATTTCCTGTAGTCCACATAACAGTATTTCAGTGATAAACAATAATATCAAATACAGTTTTATTTATAGAGCACATTTAAAAACGATTTTGTTCGAGCCAAAGTGCTGTACATGTAATAAAAGCACAATTAAGGTATCTCAAATGAAAAATACAGTCAATGTCAGTGTTATGTTATACCTTTGCTCCTCACGTGTGCCGACTTCAGTGTTCCACGGGACAACTGTGTAGCAACTGACACTTTCAATTCCACTGTCTGTGTTCCCACAGACCGTGTCTCAGCCCTCTGTAGAGTTCCCACAGACCGTGTGTCAGCCCTCTGTAGAGTTCCCACAGAAACAGTCTTTGTACGGTCTGTTTGGCATCCGACTGTACTGGAGCGGTGGTGTTTACCGGGGTCCTGCTGTGATGTACTCTAAGAAAGATACAAATAACATTCATAAATTTAATTTTGTATCCGATGAAAACAGTCAATTTCCTAAAAGCAACACTTTCTGGGAGACATTCCTAACGAAATGAAGTGCAAATCACAAAATATTATTGAAACTTAGTTGTGTGATGTTCGTCAATTTGCCAGCTGGATTACAATGCTAATCTACGTTGGCTAGTTGTTCAGTGTAATATGCTATACTATACTATGAACAACAGATAGTGGTTCATATTAAGCTATCAACAGCATGTTTACAATTGCAATCTTATACGGGTAGTCTGCTCAAATCATTGTAGCTGGCACGGTCGTTACGCCATATATATATCGCCTCGTTGTTGTGTAGCTTGGTAGCTTGTAGCTTGGTAGCTTGTAGCTTATAGCTCAAGCTATACGTAAATCACCGAATCACAGAATACTGTCTCTGACTATTTCGTGTGTGAATGCAGACAATATCCAGCTATGAGGAACATGTAAGGCGATCTGCTGATTGTTTGATAAATACACAAATAACAATGCAAACTCACAGGTTGTGGGTCCAAACTAAATATAGCATCGTTGTTTGTGTAGTTTACACGCGTGTAGCTTATAGCTCAAGCTATAATGTACGCTAAATCACCCGGAGAATACTGTCTATGACTATTTCGTGTGTGAATGCAGACATTATGCAACTACGAGGAACATGTATGCAAGGCATCTGCTGATATATAGAAACGCTAGCAACAGTTAGCCTAGTTAGCACTATGTCAATGATTTAGGAGGCGGTTTACACATTTAACCAGTGGTGGTAGATACATTGTTTGATAAATACACAAATAAATGCAAACTTACAGGTTGTGTACTCAAATCTTCTCCTGCTCCAAACGGTCCAAACAAACTAGGCATAGCATCGTCCTTCAGTTTCAAATGCTGTGCATATCCGGCTTCAAACTGGGCAATGTTTCGTCTGTGAAATGCCGGGCACACAGTAACATTCTTCGAACCTCTGAAGGAACAGTGTTAAACAGAAATGTCAACCACTGACTCCGTCGTGGTTCTTCCGTCGGTAGGACAAACAGCTCAGATTTCTCCTCACATTTCAGGAAACAGGTCCTTGGCATCGGCATGACTAGATGATTGTGAACTGAACCAGCTTCCAACAGTACATGTTAGGCTGGCAGAGGGTGCGGCCAGCGCCGCTGGGTGTGGCCATAGCTCTTCGGGATTGGTCCATTTCGTTCCGGGTACCGCATGACATCAGGCCGTACCCGGAACTAAATGGAAGACTCAAATGGGCAGTGACGTATCTCCAACGAGGCGTTTTGGGGAGGTATTTTCTGTGTTAGAGTTTTACTCGCTACAGGGTGTACTTTGAGGGTTTTGACTCTGCACACCGTTTACATGCATAAAAACCTTCATAACACACAAGGGGACGGGTAATAACCGGAAAAGCATGACATGGGAGCTTTAAGTGAACTAAACAACCGGACTCTGGTCCGCTAAAATAGGTGGTCTCGGAACGCTTGCTTGCGAACTCTGGAGCGGTTCATTGCTGGTGTGAACGCAGTCCGCACCAAAACATAGGAAGCGTAGTATTTACGCGTCACAAGAACGTGGGTGTCTTCATTTCTTTAGTGGAAGAGTGAAGCAGAACGATGTGTTGAACAGTGTCGTGTAAAGTAAAAACAACTATCAAACTGAAAACTATAGGCCTACATAAAAGTCAGAGCCACCTGCCGTCGGTGAAACGCCCTCCTTACTGCAGAACGTCTCTCATTATATGTGTTATAATGTTTTGTATCGCACGTTGTCTGATTATATAATCATATGCATCGTTGCTGTTGATATGCTCTCCAGATTAACAACAGCATGAAAATAACCTGCCGATGCTCCATGGTGGAGGCTCCGGTAGAAATTGCCGGGATTTGCGTTTTTACCCCCTTAATGTCTGACCAATTGTTGAACAGCATTTCCGAGCACATGACTTGTGTTTAAAGTTTATAGAGTGGCGAAGTCCCTCCCCTTCCGGTGGACCTCCATGGGACCTTATTTCGGAAAAATTATGTATTGAAGTCAATGGAGAGAGAAAGATTATCTTTCGATCCCGTTTGAATTGTGCCACGAATTACACATATGATGTTTGTCAATTTAAAAGATAATAACACACGTCACCAAGATGGCCGTCACTACTGTCTTGTCAACAAAACGATTGACTACCCTCACTATCACCACAATGAAATACGTCCTGAAGAAAGTCATGCAAAGCTGCCTGCCTGCCTTCCTTTGATTCTCTCTGAACTGCCTGGTCTTTTTAATGTTTAATGTCAACCATTTGTGCAGATAGCATGAAGTAGAGAAGATCGCTAGCGTTAGCGTTAGCATTTCTCCCCCGGGCTTAAATTGTGTATTATAGAATGATCACACCGGTGTGACAGTACTCTTCAAAGGATTCACGAAATATGACTACTACTCTTACTGTTTAACATTTTGGGTTACTTAATGTTACTTCATGTTAAGGCTAATACAAATGACAAGGCTGTAATGCTAACTAACGTGCTAGCTACTAGCTAGCTTGATCCAGACACTCCTGGTCCTTTCATCAGACGGGAAGCGAAAGAACGAGCAAGACCCATTGCTGGTATGAACAACCTGGTACTAAGCACACAGGCATCTTGTTAAAGTTATCTTATCTTAGCCAGCGCCATATAGATAGATTCTATCTATATGGCGCTGATCTTAGCTATCTCTTAGTGGAGGAAAACAATTGTGACATCACTTACGCGACTCTGGGATTTGCAGTCTTTCTAGTTGCGTATTTTTCATAGTCTTATATTTCAACAGTTTTACGACAAACTGTGACCTTTTTTACATGGAAATTATTTTTTAAGATTGACAAACATCATATGTGTAATTCATGGCACAATTCAAACGGGATCGAAAGATACGTTTTCTCTCTCCATTGACTTCAATACATTATTTTTCCGAAATAAGGTCCCATGGGGCGGAAGTAGATGGGCGTGACTTCGCCACTCTATAGGCCGTTTGAATTTTGCCTGTGTGAACCAAGCGGCAAACTCTGGGGAAGAGCCGGGACGCCAATGCGGAAGTGCCACAAACTGCAGTTCATATATTGGCCGATAGGCGCTGACTGCAGAAAGGAGCAATTTCCATAGAGCCCCATGTTAAAATGCCCAATTTCACAGCCTAAAAAAACATGTTTCTACCTATGGATCCAATAAATATTATTATGAATATAGTTAGATTCCACCTTCATGATTATGGATCTGTGAGTGAATTGTTTTCTAACACGACCCTTTTATTTATATTAGGTCTTAAAGTTTTTGCATAAATTAGGGCGTGGTCACTTTGATGGACAGGTACATGCCTCACTGTCAGCTAACAGCAATTTGTCCACTCTGCTAGGCTACAACGTTAGTTAGTTGTAGTTGCTGTACTTGACCCTTTAGCCGTGTTCGTGGTGATTGTGCCTTTTAGGGAATATTGTTACAAATACCAGACAATTGAAATGTAGTGCTGTGCGCTTGAATGTACTAACAGACCTTCCAAGAAGTCTACTCTCAGCTTTTTTCGGTGAGTAAAATTATAATATTATACATGTTAATCCCGTTAGCAGGTGTTTGTGTGCTTGTTAGTTTAGCTTGTTATGTAGCTTATTATGTAGCTTATTAGCCAGCTAAGGACGCAACCCTTTATACATGTGTATATATATATATATATACAGTTTAGTTTATGATTCAGCCTTTTATAGTATATGGCTGTGACGCCCATAATGCTAAACGGGAGCAAATGTTAAAAGGGGACCCAATTATCCCAGTGGTGGCCGCCGGAGTCCACGCCGGCCGAAGCTAACGGAGCCGCAGGGGGCTAGCTCGCTAGCGCGTCCCGGCGGCTCCGTTAGCTTCGGCCGGCGGCGGAGTCCGGCATTATAACTGGAGATCAAGGAATGCAGCGAAACGCAGACTTGGTTCGCCTGCAGCCCACTGTAGTATTAGCTAAATAAATTATGTTGAACAAGGCTTATTAAGCTGAACATCGCCACAATTGTTCTGCTATGTATCGGTACTTATTTTATTTGATTAACGTGTGAAGGACAAGCATTAAAAATAACAACAAATAGCTCATTATCTTGCAGATTGTCTCGTTTGATTATGAATGTAACGTTTATATAGTGGAACTACACTGTTTTATCAAAACCAAAGTGCCACGCAGTAACTTGGTATGCATGTATTTCAGCAGGAAATGTGCATTACCAAATTGGTATCAAATAAACAGTAACACAACAGCATTGGTAACACAACTTCCAAAGTTACAGTAAAATAAAAAGAACCCTGACTCGGACAATACACAATCCAACATGTTCAACAGAAGAGAATAAGTTATATTGTTTGTACACATGGTTCTTTACATATATATCTGTTTGTTTAAAGTTTCCAGGTGATGCAGACAGGATGGACCAGAGAGTGAGAGACAGAACTGGACTCCTCACAGCAGTGAACTTCAGCACAGGTACAAATACTCTTTTTTCATACTGTACAAAGAATCAAGAAAGATATTGGTTTAAATAAATGAAGTATTGACTTTAATACACTGATATACATTCCATTAAACAATACTAAATACTAGATCACCTACACATCAGTGAAGTTGAGGGTTTTTTCCATGCAAAGGGTTACATTTAGATGTTAACAAGCAATATGACTGTCAGCTTTCTAATTTAAGGTATTGAAGGCAAAGCTATTAGTGACAACTGCTATTTATCTCTCAATATTGTCTGTAAAAAACGTGGTAAAAGTTATGATTTCAGTGAGAGAACAGAGCAAGCTTCTACAGTTGCACTAAGTTTTGATAACAGTTAAATATTATTTTGATAATAAAATATATTTCAATGTTGATGAATTTCATACTGTTCATTCATAATCTGATTGTCTTTGTAGCTCACTGTTGAAATAAAATAAAACATTACAATTACAAAATAATTATATCTACAGCCCCTAAACACAAACACACCTCTTTCATAAATAACACACTTGTTCTGCAATAATATGTTTTATGTTTCCTGTAATTTTTGTTAGGAAAGGACATGCCTGAAAGACACGACTCAACATTTTCTCCTTCTCTGAGGGTCAAGAAGAACATCCAATAGGAAAATTAAAAGCTATTGTTATGAGATGTTAAGACCAGTACAGGACATTCACTAAGAAACTACTTTTATTGTGAAGTCAGCTGATCGAATGCACCTATTTCCACATCTACACTCCATCAGCTGATTAATTCTATTTGCCTCACTTTATGAGCTTCACAACATGTACCTTGTACCGCAGAGTTTGCAACGCAAATAAATGGGGCCAATCTTCAGTCGGATGTGAATGTGTAATCTAACATTTTCAGTAAGAATAATGGACAAAAGGAGTGCAAATACAAATTCAATTTATTGAAATCTGAACCAAAAGTTAATCAAACATGTTTTAAATAAAAAAGCACATATGGACAGAAGGTGTAAACCTATTAAATGTATAAGTAAACACATTTAGTCAAATAAAGTGACAGACTAGGCCTGATCAGGTGGTATCAGCTATGCATGGGCTCCTCCATCAGGCCTGGTCCTCCTCGCTGAGGAAAGACCCTCAGTCCTCTCCGGCCAAACCAACAGACAGGACGTCCATCACACGGAGGTTTCTCCCTGAAGTCTCTGCAGCTCTCTGGACACCACGCTGTCTCAATCCGTCCACACTGAATATGAGGGGAAAATGAAAATAATAAATGCTTTAGACAATAAGAAATATAAAGTTGACTGTTGAGTTGCTCAGTTTTTTTAGATTGTCAATACTATTACTGTATAACTAATATCCCAGGTTAA